ACGCCTGTGTCTGTTTTGAAATTTGTGAGACAGGAAATGGACTCAGGAAATAGGGTTCTTCGGTACATGGTCTTCATCATCCTTAGGTATTTTTAAACCTTAATAAGCTTTTCAGTGAAGGGAGAAAATGGCATTTAGAAGAAAATGCACGAAACTTCAAAATACAGCTGTCTTATCGTGATCGTGTTCTGTGACAAAGAGATACATTTGTTTTTGTAGACAGCAGAGCTGAGATCTGTGTTAGCTATGACGAAAAGGTGCCTCATCCCTGAAAGAGCGCAGGTCATATTATCATGCTAATAATCTCAGCCATTAAAATTAACTCCGAGGGCCTAATCAGTGAAGTGCCCTGTAAGCATTTATTTGCATTTGGGTTAAAGTGAAGAATGTAGTACTGGTTATCCCAACATGTTTCCTGGCAAGGTTGACTAACTACTTGAAAACAACAAAACACAGGGGCATCTGGGTGGCTCAGTGGGTGAAGCATCCGACTCTTGGTTTCAACTCAGTTCATGATCTCATAGTTTTGTGAATTGGGGCCCCGCATCAGGCTGTGTGCTGTCAAAACCCTTCTTGGGATTCTCTCTCTCCCTCTCTCGCTATCCTTCCCCTACTTCTGCTGTCTCTGTCTCTCTCAGAATAAATAAGACTTAAAAAACAACTTTTTGTAGTTGATAATATCAAACTTACACAAAATTAGAGAGAATTACTTAATGAGCCACCTTACCCATCATGAGTTTCAATAATGAACTCATGACCAATCTTGTTTCCTCTGTGGCCCACCTACTCTCTGCTTCACTATTTCAAATTAATTTAAAACAAATTCCAGATATGTAATTTCACCTGTAAATATATCAGTAGAGGTCTGAAACAATAAGGACCCTTTATAAAATCACAATCACAAAACCATCACATCACCAGAAAACTAACAATTCAATATCATCAAATACTGTATTAACGTTTACATTTTTTACAACTATCTCATAGATGTTTTTACCATTTCCTGGAATCAGAATCCAAGCAAGGGTCTATACATTGCAGTTGGTTTATGTGTCTCTAAGTCTCCTTCAATCTATAGGTCTCCATCCATATTTTTCTTGTGCACATGCTTGAGCACTCTCTCTCTCTCTCTCTCTCTCTCTCTCTGGGTGTTTAAAAGAAGTTATTCATAATTAGTATAACTTTCCCTGTGTCCATAGTGTATCTTTTTTTCTCTCCTCTGGTTGCTTTTGGGATTTTCTCTTTATCTTCGGTTTTTAGCAATTTGACTGTGATATGCCTGGATGTAGTTTTGTATTTATCCTGCTTTGTCTTTGCTAAGCATCTTGGATCTTTAAGTTTGCTATTGTTGTTACCAAATTTGGGAACCATTTGGTCATTATTCTTTTCGGTCGGGGGGTGGGGTGCTTTATTCTTTCTGTCCTTTCTTTGGATTCCAATTACATTCCATTAAACCATTTGATATTTTCCCACAGGTTACTGGGGATCCATCTGTTTGTTTGGGTTTGTTTTTAACTTTTATTGATCTGTCTTCAAGTTTACTAACCCTTCCTTCTGTTATCTCTAGTCTGCTGTTAAGTCCACCAGTCCAGTCTTTCGGATACTGTATTCTTCAGTACTAGAATCTTTTTTTTTTTTACAATATCCATTTCCCTTCTGAAATTCTCCATCTGTTATTTCTCATTATGACCATCATTTCCTTCAAGTGTTTACACTTCTCTCTAATAGCTCCTTTAAGGTTCTTTTTTGCTAATACTACCGTCTAGATTATCTCAGAGTCTGTTTCTGCTGACTGCCTTTCCTCTCGATTATGGGTCACATTTTTCTGTTTTTTTTTCACATGTCCAGAATATCTTTATTGAATCCTGGACATTGTACGGGGTACAGTGCAGGGACTCTAGATTATGTTACATTCCTCTGAAGAATGTTGATTTTTGTTCTAGCAGGCGTATGACTAGCCAGTCACTTTGAATTTGTGAAGACTTGGTCTTGCATTTGGTTAGGGCAGATTCATTTCAGCTCTGCCTTTAGCCCTCAAGAAAATCCCTTTGTTCTGGAGCACAGTCCTTACTCCTACGGTGTGGCTGTTCCGGGCTAATAAACAGCCTGAGGTGTTTACAGAGCCTTTGTTGCTAGGACTCACATTCTGAATTCTGTCTCCACTACAGGGGCCAGTACCCAATATTCCTGCTCTTATCTTTCAGCCATACCAGTGTGGCTTCTCGCTGAACTCTTTCGAGATCCCCTGCACACGTGCGGTTCAGGAGCACATGTTAAGGATTTGAGAGAACTTTATGTGCCAGTTGAGTGGCTACTCCCTGCCCGAGGCTCTCTCCTTTATGGGATTCGCTTTCCCAATTTTTGGCCACTGTGGCAGCTCCAGACTCTATTCCCTGACAGATTACACAACTTCCATTTCATTTTCTACCTGCCCCCTGCTACGTGGACTGGAGAGGACCCTCAGGGCTACGTAACTTTGGCTCTCACTCATGCAGTTCTCTTCTTTCCAGAGTGAAATCCCCTTCGGTGTTCTCCAGTACCTTCACATCACTTTTACAAAAGTTCCATCATTTCTATATGTAGGAAGGTTAGTTGGATACAAGCCACTCTGTCATTACTGAAACTCCAATGCCCTTCTCCTGTATTATAAAAAGATGGTGGCATACCACATACTTCGCCTGGCTTTGCATACCTAATCATAGAGCCTGGAGACCAGTCCTTAGCAGAATATTGACACTACTCCTCATTCTGTTTTATAGCTCTGTAGTTCTCCATTGTTTAGAGACATAATTTTTTAACTTTTTAAATGTTTATTTATATTTGAGAGAGAGAGCCAGAGCCAGAACCAGAGCCAGAGTGCGAGTGGGAAAGGGGCAAAGAGAGGGAGACACAGAATCTGAAGCAGGCCCCGGGCTCTGAGCTGTCAGCACAGAGCCCGACGCAGGGCTCGAACTCATGGACTGCGAGATCGTGACCTGAGTCAAAGTTGGACACTCAACCGACTGAGCCACCCAGGCGCTCCAGAGAAATAGTATAATTTATGAAACCAGTCTCCTGTTGATAGCTATTCCAACAAGTAAGCACTTTTAGATGCATGTCAGCAAGCTATACGCTAGTTACAAAATAAACCCTTTGCCTTCAAGCAAATGATCTTTTAGTCATCATGAACAATATTTCTTTTGTTCATTGTCTTCTATATCTGAGATCTAGAGGAATTCCCATTTTTCCGTTAATCCTATGTAAAACTTCAACACACTGCCACCTTAGTCTCTGTTTATGAACCTATCAGATCCCTAGATCCCCTTTATATGTTCTTTATGTAGATATTACCGTAATGGACAAAGGAGATATGTTTGACTTGCTTTACTTAGAATCATGGACACATCTCTGACGACAGCAAGGACCTGAAAGCATGTGTAGCCTTTTGGTGAAACAGCTCTGGGAACAGTTGTGGCCAGAGAGACCTCATGAAGATGAGTATGGGGCACTGTAGAAAGTTCCATTTTTATAGGCAGATTTTTGTCCTTCCTTCCCGTAAGCAGGTGCTCACAAGGCCCCGTGTGTGCCCGTCAATCCCTCAACCCGGCCCACGGAACGACTCCGGTTGCTGAGTTGTGCACTCTTCTGATGTTGTCCTTGCTCTCAAATATCACGAGCTTGAAAGTTCAAGTAGGATGGGGTGGAGGCACTGTTGGGGTGCCCGTCCCTCCTTTTCCTTCCTTACCTCTACCTATCTTTGAGCATTTATAGGGTCTGGGCACTCAGAAACAAAATGATCCTGGGGCGCCTGGGTGGCTCAGTCGGTTAAGTGTCCGACTTCAGCTCAAGTCATGATCTCACGGTTTGTCATTTTGAGCCCCACACCGGGTTCTATGCTGACAGCTCGGAGCCTGGAGCCTGCTTCGGATTCTGTGTCTCCCTCTCTCTCTACCCCTCCCCTGCTTGCGTGCTCTCTCTCTCTTTCAAATATAAACGTTAAAAAAAAATTTTTTTAAAGAAACAAAATGATCCTAAATCATCTTTCAAGTACAAGATTGTCATCCTGTAAATCAGGCCCACTGTCCATGCTTAGAGCAGGTTTTGATATAACTTTTCCCCGTGGTTTCTATATAGCAAAGTGGCAGGTATTGTAATGGGTACCTAGATTCTGGAATCTTAACAGAGTCTGGGTCTAATTCCCTAACTGTCTGTGTGTCTTTGAGTAAGTTGCTGAACTTCTTTATGCTTCCTTCTTATCACCTGTATATTGGAGTAATGGTATTAGCATCTCCTGTTTAGGAGTGTTACACATTTTAAACAATACAATCCAGTACCAAGGATATAGTAATAGCTTTAGTAGTAGTATTGTAGTATCATTATTAATAATACCACCAACAATGTCCCGGAGGTAGAGAATACATAAATCCAGTGATGAAAATGTAAGTCAGTGAAAGTATCTAGAAAGAAACCCTTATGTACCCCAAAAGCCACATTGAAGAGTCATGTAACAAAAAGCTAAAGAACACAAGTTTGGCTTCCTTGTGTTTATAAGCCACTAGTAAGTGACTAATGGAATGCTGTGGACATTCTTAGCCTGTCTAGTGTAGGAAAAGAATTTCAAGCATGTGCATTTTAATTGTTTTTTTTTTTTAAATTTTTTAATGTTTATTATTTTTGAGAGAGGGAGAGAGACAGAGTGTGAGCAGGGGAGGGGCAGAGAGAGGAGATAGAATCTGAAGGCTCCAGGCTCCAAGCTGTCAGCACAGAGTTGGACACAGGGCTTGATCCCATGAGCCATGAGATCATGACCTGAGCCGAAGTCGGATGCTTAGCCGACTGAGCCACCCAGGCTCCCCTTTAATTGTATTCTGAAGCAGCGAGAAAGACACTCCATATCCAGGGACAAAAGGGGCTGCCCGGCGGACGCACGTGCCCCCGTGCTCACTGCCTTTAGAACTGTGTGGGGTCCCTCTCCTGACAACTCACCAGGGTCAGTGACCGTCTCTCCTTCTGCTCCACAGATAATTGTGTCCAGAGGACCCCGCGGCCTCCGGTGGAGAACGTGCACCACAACCCCCCCACCATTGAACTGTTGCACCGGTCCAGGTCACCCGTCACAGCCAATCACCGGCCTTCTCCCGACCCCGAGCAGCGGCCCCTCCGGTCCCCCCTGGACAACATGATCCGCCGCCTCTCCCCGGCCGAGAGGGCCCAGGGGCCGAGGCTTCACCACGAGAACAACCACCAGGAGTCCTACCCCCTGTCAGTGTCTCCCATGGAGAATAACCACTGCCCACCGTCCTCCGAGCCCCACCAGAAGCCATCGAGCCCCCGGCAGGAGAGCGCCCGCGTGATCCAGCTGATGCCCAGTCCCATCATGCACCCTTTGATCCTCAACCCTCGGCACTCCGTGGATTTCAAACAGTCCAGGCTCTCCGAGGACGGGCTGCACAGGGAAGGGAAGCCCATCAACCTCTCCCATCGGGAAGACCTGGCGTACATGAACCACATCATGGTCTCGGTCTCCCCGCCCGAGGAGCACGCCATGCCTATTGGGAGAATAGCAGGTAGGTGCCGCACCCCTTCACGGCCGCGCCGGCCTCGGCAGTCCATCCACGAGCCCCGCTGCCTCCCCAGCCTTGCAGCGGGCCTCACACGGGTCCCCAGTTAGGTGCCCTCAGAGGTTCTGCCGGGGCCAGCCGAGGCTTCTGCCTGAATGAAGTGAAATCCCTAATGGGCTAGTTAATGAGCCGCTGGGATGGAGTAGTTAATGAGCCTCAGAAATGTTAAGAAACAAATGTCCTACATCCAGCTTACAAGGAGAGTCACATCAGAATCATGGCTAAGCGAAAACATTTAAAATAAAAGGTTTATGAGCATGCTACTGGCCCTGTCTTGAAGTTTCCAGCAGCTAATTAATGACCAGACGCAGCAGAAAGAACCTTTGTCTCGGATTCAGACCTGTAATTCCCTCCCGTGGGCAGTAACTCCGTGTAGCCTTCACCTTGGGAGAAGGTGAGAGAGAAAAACACGATTGTGGTGCTGGAGGCAGGTGTTGCTGGGTCATTTGGACAGAGGAAGCCACTCCCGAATTCTTCCACTTTTATGATGACAAGCCCAAATTTGCTTCCCTCGGACAAGAAACCAGTGGAAGCCAGTGGGGAAAAATCGACACACTGTATTGTGCTAGTCTGCTAAGTCATCCCCCAGACACTTAATGCTCCCACCACTTGGCAAGGGCAGCTCTTCTCCCAGAGCGTCTCTCCATTCGGGAGACAGTTATTGATGACCTACTATGCACAGATAAGTGCACTAGGAAGTAGGGGGACCCACAGCTGATTGAACACAATTGTTTCCTCAAGGAACTTAATATTTCCTCTGGAAACCACTAACTAAGCTATGAGGCACAGTGAAATCAGTCGCAGGTCCCGTTCATTCGGTACGCAAGCACTTATTGAGTGCCGACTGTGTGCTAGGATTAAGTGCCGTGGAAGCAAACCAGAGAGAAGGTGCATTTTGACTGAAGGAATTGAGGAAGGCTTTGCAGAGACGGAGCTCGGGGTTGAAGGGGATTGTGGTGGGTTCGGTAGTGGGAGGGAGGCACAGAGGCAGGAGAAGTCAGACCTGGTCAGGGAAAGGCGAGAAACCCTCCCTTTCTCCATGACAGAGCCCCAGCTGAGCCCTAGGACGGAGCCATGCTTCTAACAGTGTGACTGCACAGAATCCTACAGGCTACATTTACTACCTCTGCCTGGACGCATTGTCCCTTTTTTATTGAAATTATTTGTTTCTAAGTTTTCCTCTGTCTCCCTGTACACCTCCAGTGTTGCCTCAGGTTTTTTTTGTTTCGTTGTTTTTAATTTTTTTTAATGTTTTATTTATTTCTAGGAGAGAGAGAGAGAGACAGCATGAGCAGGGGAGGGTCAGAGAGAGAGGGAGTCACAGACTGAAACCGGCTCCAGGCTCTGAGCTGGCAGTCAGCACAGAGCCCGACGCGGGGCTCGAACCCACGAACCGCGAGATCATGACCTAAGCGAAAGTTGGACGCTTAACCGACTAAGCCACCAAGGTGCCCCTGTTGCCTCAGTTTTACTGTTAACAAATCATTCACATGAGGAGTGTTGAATCAAGATAGTGACATGGCAAAGAGATATGACTTACGTTTGAAAAACTACGAGAAGTGGAGTGATCTGTGTCTGGGATTTGATTCTGAAGGATCCCACTGCACTGGGGGTGAAGCACAGGTGGGGTGCACGTAAAATAAGGTGAGCTGTGAGCTAATGGCTGTATGGCTGGGTGATGGATGCAACAGGGATTCCCATTATTTCTTTTTCTCTACCTTTACATGTATGTATATGTGTATATGTATGTTTTAATCTAAAAAAATCATGAAAGCCAACAAAATAGGGGATTTATAAAGAAGCAAAGGGCTTAAGCAAAACATGTGAATTTCCCCAGATGATTAGGGAAAGAGGACGGGGTCAGTGTATTATTGGGAAGCACACAAATGGCCTGTCTTGTGCTTCCCAGGCCAGACCTTTCTTACCTACGCATACCCTTCGTGCCTTATTTCTTGCACGGTCTATACAGCAGTACCGGACATTTTGCAGATACTTTCTACTTGTTTATAATACTCCGGGTAGCTCTTAGAAGCAGCTTATTACCGCCATATTCATTTTATATGGAAAGTCATCAGAACCGGGGAAGCCACAGAGGAAACAGAGCCCCAGAGAAGCAAAGGTCAAATACGGGTTGGGTCACAGGGTCCATGAGGCAGTCTCTGCTGTGTGTTGGCTGCCGCTGGTAGTGCTACCCCCATGACACCTGCTTCCTCAGCTACATCCATCCTGGCCCCTGCCACTGTCACACTGTCTTATCACAGACTTCCTAGGAATCTAAGATCGGTCCATCCATCAAGAAAGTTAAATGATTTAGACTTATAGAGTGATTTTTCCCCTGTGTAATAATAGGTTTATACACTTCATTAGTCTCTTAGAAACTGTGCTACTAGCCTTTTATATCTTATTCCTAAACATCAGAATCGTTTGGCAGTGGAGGTAGCCTCATCAGTAATACACGCCACAGACTATCATACCAGCCAGGGATGAACCTTGATACTCATGGATGCCCTTGTCTCTCTCCAGAACACAAGAGGGGAGTCTGTGCTTTTCTTTGGGACCCTAGGAAGTCAGAAGAGTCACATAAAATAACCCTAGGGCTCAGACCCCTTGGGGAATGTATTAACTCCTTCGGTATGACAGAACCTTTAAAATTATTCGTTATTAATTAGCTCTAATGATATACTTGAAAGTTTAAAACTCTCCAGGTGTAAGTATGAGCTAATTTTCTTAATTTTTTTAAAATTTATTCCTGAGAGAGAGAGAGCGTGAGCAGGGGAGAGTCCGAGAGAAAAGGAGATACAGAATCTGAAGCAGGCTCCAGGCTCTGAGCTGTCAGCACAGAGCCCGATGCAGGGCTCGAACCCACAAACCATGAGATCATGACCTGAGCCGAAGTTGGATGCTCAATCAACTGAGCCACCCAGGCGCCCCAAGTATGAGCCAATTTTACCAACTCTGGGATCTGCTAATTTAACTGAAAGTTACTGTTTTTCTCAAGGCTGAAATGAGAGGGTTGGAAAGTCTACAGTCGAACACTTGGTCCTGATTCTAACCCTCCGAAGTGAACTCATGAGGGCTCCGTGCCCCTTAGTTTCACTGTCTCATCTCTCCTGCCCTCCTAGTTTCTTTTTGGACTCCTCCGATCCTTATAAAATTCTATTTCTTAGGGCCCAACCTCATTGGGTGATTCCTACATACAATGTGGCATTACTGAACAGCCATAAAACTCCTTCATATCTGTAGAGCAGATGTTGGATGCGAAAGCTTAGTTCCTGAAGCTTTTTAAATGAGCAGAGCACAGAAAGAAACGAAGGTGCTGCCGAATGCTACACTGACGACTGCCATCGCCTGAGGGCATGGATGGAAACACCGCTTATGAATGTGGATCAGAAAGGGAAGCCACATTCCTGTCCACTCGGCTGTCATTTGCTCAAGTACTTTGGGATTTATGTACTTGAGCACTTTCTGTGTTTGAGGCACTAGACTGCATTCACGGGGGTAGGATGTTCCAGAAAATCTAACACGCAGTCTTGAAACGTCTTGAAAAAGCTGAATGCTGTTGGCTGTCAGGGTCATGTGCGGGGTCTTTGACGGACTTCTGTTAAGTACTATAGGCATCAGAGTCGGGGTGTCAGGTAGGGAAGGCTTTGCAGAGGGGCTGGCTTTCAGCTGGGTGTACGCATGCTTAGAATATGAGGAAGTGAAGATTAGATCATCCCAGATGGAGACAAGTCCAGAGCAAGGTAAGGCCCAGTATAGTTTTTCTATTCCAGGTAGAAATATAAATCGAGGAACCCAAGTCCGTTAAGAATCTATCATATTTCATCAATTTTTTTTCTCACTTTCTAATATCACTGAATTGGGATTTTATCATACAATTTAGAGGTGACCGGCAAAGCTATGATGTTTACTTTGGTATCAGTCTTGTAGAAGAAATAAAATGATCAATAAAAAAATGTAGGAGGTGGTAGACAGCTTAAATACAAACCACAAATTAGATCTATTTAAATACAGCATGTAGCTTATTTTTAAAGGTATCACTTATTTTTCAGATGATGAGAAGGACTGCTGTTGAGGATAGTAAGTTAGAATAGCCAGAGTTTATGGGAGAGGATTTAATATGGAATAGAGTGAGCCAAGACCCTTGGGTTCAAACTTTTTGTTGAATAGCTAATGGTGTATGTAACATACAAACAGTATTTAATTTTTTTAAACGTTTATTCATTTTTGAGAGGGAGGGAGACAGTGTGAGAGGGGGAGGGCCAGAGAGAGAGGGGGAGGCACAGAATCTGAAGCAGGCTCCAGGCTCTGAGCTGTCAGCACAGAGCCCGACGCGGGGCTCGAACTCATGAACCACGAGATTCGTGTCCTGAGTTGAAGTTGGATGCTCAACTGAGTGAGCCACCCTGGCGCCCCCAAATTGCTTTTTTCTAGGCTTAGTTTCTATTTGTGTTATATTCACGAAGGGATTGCTTGGTGGGGGCAGTGGGACATAGGGTGTTGGGACAGCATCTGTGAACCTTCTAGCACTTTCCCCAGCCCATGAAAGTTTTACTGGCCTGCGCCTTGCCAGTGTGTCGTATCCAAAGAGTATATTGGCAGCGAGCTCCATAAGGCGATGAGGCGCAGCCCTGCTGATGCCGTAAGTCATGCTTTTGGTGTCTATTCACATTCCTCGTTAGAACTCGGTGATTTCAAAGCTAACAGGGTCTTTTACAGATGAAGAAACCGAGATTCAGGCCCATCCAGGGTCCAGCCTCGAGCTTCGTCCGGTGTCCTTTCCAACACCGTGTTTCATTCTGACCTGGGACCCCAGAACGGGGATTGGAAACTCTGGCCCGTGGGCCAACTCAGTCACCGCCTGTTTTTGTAAATCAAGTTTTATTGGCATACAGCCACACCCATTCACTCAGCGTTGTCGCGGCCGCTCTGGCCCTGTTAACAGC